ATTTAGAATTTTTCTTTTTTTTTTTTTCTTTTTTGTGACTTATATTCGCATGGCTGGTGCTGACCTCCAGCTGACCAACTCAGGGCACATTCTTGGTCGAATACTTTTCCATTGACATGAAGGCGGGCGATTACATTAAACAAATTCCTCGGTCTGCTGCTAAAAAATGTCGTATCACACGGTTGTGATAGAGATTTTTTTCTCGCCATTATCTTGCATATCTATATCAACCATTCTCCCGTGCTTCGAATAACGTTGCCACATCTGGTCTGACGCTTTATATATAGAGACACTTAATAAGTTCCAAAGAAGAATCATCCATATCATCGATCGTGATTTAACATCTCGACTTCTGTCGTTTTCCTACCTACGTGATATAGCTTGCCTTTTTATAAATATTGTCACGACAATTGTTTTTATAAGCTTTCCTCTTCAATCCTTCGTGCTTACGAATTTATGAACAGTATTACATTGGCAGCTTGGCTGCATAAATTGACAGATGATTGTTTGTTGTATTTCTTTGTAATATTTTGTTTCGTCAAAAATCTATTTATGGTAATATTTTTTCCTCAGAAATGTATAGCTGGTAATATTATTTTAAAACATGTATTGCTGGTAATTTTTTTTCAAAAACGTATTGCTGGTAAGATTTTTTTTTTTTCAAAAATATATTGCTGGTAATAATTTTTTCTTCAAAAACTTATTTCTGGTAATAATATTTTACAAAGTATTTCTGGTATTAAAACCTCTTTTTACACTTTTATAATGCTTTTTTCCTCAGTTTCGGGTTTAATTATTTGCCCATATCTGGGACCCTAACAGGTGCTACCACCCCGGGTCAAGGTGGACCTGGGAACACCAGCAATTAAGACGTAGTTCCAAGCTCCTCAAAGCCTCCTGATCAAAGGGTTTGCTGTTGGGCGTAGTTTATCGTCTTACCCTGGACGCGGATGTAGTTTATCGTCTTACCCTGGACGCGGATGTAGTTTATCGTCATATCCAGGACGGTTGACAAGTGAGACGGTTAAAAATGTATTATTTATTATTTTATTTTAATTTGTTGAATTATTTATGTATTTAATTATTTTAGATATTAAACGTTCCTGTCCATTTTCCTTTAATTCAAAAAATATATGTTGGATTAGGAGAGATGCATTTCCTTTAAGAAAGGGGATATTTGAAAAATATCAAGGGCGTAAGTTATCATTTTGGCAAGAATCGATAGTTGCACTCTCAAGAACTTTCCGTTTACTTTCTCTTTTAATAAGAGTAGCTTCTTTATACGATACTTTTTGTGTTTATAATCTAGTGCTTATAAATACGTTTGTTTATTCTCTCAAGTTTCCCCATTATAATGTAGGGAACAATTTTGGCAATTTATTTTTATACAACAACTTCAGAGTTATTGGACATTTTGGTTTTGATTTTATGCATAACAGTTTTAGATGTCGTCGTAATTATTTTCATATTGTAATGATTCGGATTCAAATTTCGCCATTTGTCACCGAGGTATCTTTTTTAATAAAATCGACCCATTGGAAAAGTGTACCTAAATCATGCCACGTGTTGATCCAAGCTTTGCTGAGTATAATCGATTGATTAAACTCTTCAGACGTTATCGAGTTTTGTGCTCGCACTATGTCATCGTGACCAAGTGTTTGAGCGTACCGGTCTTTTTCAAAACTTTTGATCTCGCCAGATTATGCATTCTCTCCGAGAAGCACGAACTAAGGTCCGCTCAGCATAGTTGCAGTGTAACCTGCAGGAGGGCTCAATCTACTTTGGAGAAACGCAAATATACCTACTTAAGCAGGCGTCTCTGACAAGTATAATTATAATTAATAATTAAAGTTGCCTGGAAAGCATAAAGATTGAAGGGGGTTCCGCAAGCGAGAAGTACGAGAAAAAAAACTGTTAGCATAGAATTTACGGTTACATGTATCCAGCTCAACTGTAAATTGATTAGCCCTCGTTGCCAGTCTAGTACTGAGCTTAAATTCGACGAGTCGAGGCTACATAGCGAAAAGCGATATTTGTTTCTGCTATGTACAGAAAATGTGGCACAAGGTCAACATTAAACTTAGCTAGCCACAAACACTGACCCAAACATACAAACAATATTCCTAACACCAAAACAACACATTCTTACTTACCTTTCTTACTACATTCACTATAATACCTCATTGTCTCTATGAAAGTCCTAACTAGTCCCCATATGTACAATTCATTGTCTGTGGCAGGAGGGGAATAAAACAACAATTTTAAAAAAAAGGTATTCATAGAAAAGGCCGAGGGAAACTAGGAAAGTGACTGAAGTGGGAAGGTGGGTGATGGGTAAAGGGAATGAAGCTGAAATGCCTGATCAGGGCCAATAATATTGCTGATTCTACTTTGAATTTTATGAAGGAGCTCTAGATAGATAGCCGAAATACTGGACTATATGTAACAGCCATATTCTAAACATCGGCGTATTTTGTACGTAGTTTTATGCCTTCAAATG